TAGCCAGAGTTACCCTGTGGTAAGATGGGTGGCTAATACATTCGATAAATAAAAATAAAATAAATCCCGGAGGTTTGTGGTGACAGGACGATTGTCTTCCTTTTTGGAGGAAGCGTCTGACGCTCCGAAGAGATCCGGCCAACTCAGGAGATGGGCACAAACAGGGAACGGAAAAGAGAAGTGAAGCATCAGGAAGTTCCTTAATTTCTTTATTCTGGCATTTCTCAAAACGTTCAAAGGGAATCCTAGGAGTTTAAATCTTTCTGCCGCTTCCTGGAGTTTGGCAGCAGCTCATCAGGTAGTGGCACCTGGATGGAACTGGAGTGGAAGGTTGCCGGTAGCTCAGCCTGGTAGCCGGTGCCCCTTGTGAAGTTGTGGCTAAGGTCCCAATATTCCAGCTTGTTGTGTCCTAATGGAGTGTTTCTCAAGCTTGGCCACGAAGATGAGAGGACTTCAGGTCCCAGAATTCCCTCACCCGTTTGAAGGCATGCTGACTGGGGAATTCTGGGAGTTGGTCCGTCCATCTTCAAGTAGCCCAGCTTGAAGGACAATGGCCTAAAGTGACTAGGACTCTATGATTCTTTGAGATGACAAAGAATCCACACTCAATGGCCCCCAAACCGTTGGGTTCTCGCCACCTACTTAGCCAAGTCAGGGAAGGACATAGCCACACATACAACAGACACAACTAAATAGCTTTCCCTTTAACCTTCTTCATTTAGCTGTCTTTACATTATCCTTTTAAAAAACTATGACCCAGGCACTGCCCGCTTTCCCCCAGTGTGCTGCAAGTGCCAGGGCCCTTGGGGGGGGGTCTCCCCTGAGCGTCCTGGGTGAGGGGCTTGAGGTCTCTCCGGCAGGGAAGGAGCCCTCCTGGCAAGGCCCCAAAGGAATGAGCAGCAACCCTCCCTGCCTCACCTGTGCCCCATGCCTGCGGCCTCNCTGGATTGAATTAATGGCTGGACGATTGTGTTGATCTCCTTTTGGGGCAGACAGCCTACAATTCCGGGCACAGCAGCACTGTCTTTGCTCCAGGCAGAGGGAGGACTGCACCCCGTGTCAGAGCAGCCCTCAACAGGCAAGCATCTCGTCCACAGCTGCCCAGTTGGGAATCCAATATTTCTGAACTACTGACAGATTAACACCCAGACTAGTACAAGGCCTCTAGAGCCTCCCCAAAGTCTATAAAAATCTGTGTAATTTAAACCATTGTTTCCTAGACCACCTTCTGGAGCAAAGAAAATTTCAGAAAGAACTAGAAGGGACCTCGGAGGTCTTCTATCCCAGCCCCTTGCTCAAGCAGGAGAGCCCAGACCATCTCAGGCAAGTGACTGTCAAGTGTCTTCTTAAAAACTTCCCCTGGCCCCCTCCCCAGGATTCAGGAAGCCTTCAGAGGCTGTTGAAAGCAAAAATCCCTCCCTGCGTGGAGGTTGTGCGCGCAATGGTGGGCATACACCATTTTCTCACACCTTTAGAAAAAGATTAGCAATCATTCGTATAGGGCCAAAAGAGTAGAACACAAAACCTCCAAGATCCCTTCCAATTATTGTTGTTATTGTTATGGTGTTGCTCTGCATGTACACCTAGAGCTTCTGCACTGAAGACATATTCCTTGCATGTCTAATTACACTTGACCAAATAAAATATTTAATTTGATCTGTAGTTTTATTACTATGATCGTGATTATCTCAAAGCTTATATGTACAATGACTATGCACCGAAGACGGATTCCTTGTGTGTCCAATCACATTTGGCCAATAAAGAATTCTACTCTACTCTCAATTACTCAGACATGTATCATGACTGAAGGTCTTTCCACACTCAGGCAAGTTTATAGTTTTTTTTTAGTGTGAATCCTTTGATATCGAAAGAAGCGCTCTTCCCTCAAGGGGTTTACATGGTTTTTCTCCTCTGTGGATACTTTGATGTGAACTAAGGGTTTGCTGTGAAGTGAATCACTTGCCACAATCGCTTGCAGGCAGCCCTCGATTTACAACTACAATTCAGCCGCAAATTTTTCTTTATAAGTGAAACATTGAAGTGAATTTTACGACCTTTCTTGCTAGTTATCGAAATCACTCCAACTGTAACAGGGTTAAGTGAATTTGGTTTTCCCATTGACTTTGTTTGCAGGAAGGTCACAAAAGGTGACATGACCACGGAACATTGCAACCGTCACAAAAAGGAGTCAGTTTACAAGGGTCTGAATTTTGATCAAGTGACATCAGTGTGAAAAACAGCCGTAAGCCACTCTCTTCAGAGCCATTGTAACTTTGAACAGTCACTAAATAAACTGCTGTAAATTGGGAATTGACTGTATCTGGTTATTCTCCCATGTGGATTCTTTGATGGTTATAAAGACTTCCACTCTCCTAGGAACTCTTTCCACACTCCAGGAATTTATGAGGTTTTTCTCCTGTGTGGCGCCTTTGATGTTGATAAAGGTTGCTCCTCCGATTGAAGCTCTTTCCACACTCCAGACATTTATGAGGTTTCTCTCCTGAGTGGATCCTTTGATGTGTATAAAGGCTGCTCTTCTGACTGAAGCTCTTTCCACACTCCAGACATTTATGAAGTTTTTCTCCTGTGTGGATCCACTCATGTGTATAAAGATGGTTCCTGTTACTGAAGCTCTTTCCACATTCCAGACATTTGTGAGGTTTTTCTCCGGTGTGGATCATTTGATGTTGATAAAGGTTGCCCTTCTGTCTGAAGCTCTTTCCACACTCCAGGCATGTATGAGGTTTTTCTCCTGTGTGGATCTTTTGATGTATATAAAGGCTGTCCCTCCGACTGAAGCACTTTCCACATTCCAGGCATTTATGAGGTTTCCGTCCTGTGTGGATCTTTTGATGTGTATAAAGGTTGCTCCTCTGACTGAAGCTCTTTCCACACTCCAGACATTTATGAGGTTTTTCTCCTGTGTGGATGTTTTGATGTTGATAAAGGTTGCTCCTCTGACTGAAGCTCTTTCCACACTCCAGACATTTATGAGGTTTTTCTCCTGTGTGTATGTTTTGATGTTGATAAAGGTTGCTCCTCTGACTGAAGCTCTTTCCACACTCCAAACATGTATGAGGTTTTTCTCCTCTATGGATCCTTTAGTGTGCATTAAGGTGGCTCCTCACACTGAAGCTCTTTCCACACTCCAGGCATA